AATAACTATCGTGACTTTATGAATATATAGAACCTCTAATTTAATAAAAGTCAGGCCGGTATTTATGTTATTTAGATAAGGTTCTAATTTTATTAAACATTTAAGAACCGAATTTTTCAAAGGAGAATAAGCTCCTTTAATATCTGTTACAAACATCGCTAGGGGAAAGACGAGTTTTTTTTTAATATTCGTGTAATTTAATTAACTAAAATTTACTTAAATTAGAAAATTTTATCTAATTTAAGTAAGCTCCTGTCCTCCAGGGTTAGCATGCACTCTGCTAGAGTGTCTAATAGAATATTGTTATATTCATTTAAAAAATTCTTATGTTCTTTAATGAGAGAAATTTATGTAATTTAGTAGAGAATTGTTCTGTTGGTGTAGAATCATTGTAGTCATTTCGTGTAGGATTGCTCTGTAGAATTATTAGAGACATCTTAAAAAAATAAGTATTTGATTTCGAATAATCGTTTAGTATGGAAAACCCTACGGAAAGTACTGGGTTTTACCAAAATGACTTTAGTAATTCTAAAGCAGAACTCCTCAATAATCCTTCCTTTAACTGATAGCTACGTTTCTGTCATATACTTGTTTATTCTACTTTTTAGTATTGTTACACCGAAAACTGTAACAAATGTACACAATTATATAATTTGCAGTGTAACATTACTAAAAAGATAACTAACAAGTGCGTAACAAAAAGGTAGATGTGATTAAGTAAAACGAAGGCTTAATTATTGAGTTCTACTTTAGTAGAACAAAATAACTAACCAACTCTAGAAATGATAGCTAATTAAAGTGTTCGACCAAAGTAAAAAGAAAAAATATGGGAAGTAGTTGCGTTTCTCCCAAACAGCATCGTGGCAGGCAATACATGCATAGCAAAATAATACCACCCCGTTCCTAAGTCATTGGTGTGGCCCCCCCACTAGTAAGACTCTGAATTTTATAGTTAATTGTATTTATGTTATATTGTAAACAAAGTTGATGAGTAAAAAAAAATTGTGTTAAGGAAAAGTGTGCATGCATGTAAACATGAAAAATAATCCGACTAAAAACTTTTCTTACGTCCCTTAGGGACTGCGGAAAACTGCAATTGAAATTCTGTTTACAAGCCAGAAAGGACTTACTCGACTTGCCAGGGAAGTGATTGTCATGGCAAGATTAGATAAACTTTAGATGAAGAGTAGGCTTATACCCTTTTAATGCGCTTATAGAACTCGTACTTTTGCTATACAAAAAGTACCCAAAGGATGAGGAGGAGATTTAGGAGTGGTTATTAAAGAATTTTTTGTTACTACTGTAACTCATTTGAAATAGTTAAATTGGGAAAGGGGAGGGGTGCTTCGGCTTAGTCAGAATGCACACAAATGTCTTGAGACATGTAAAGTACTCCTTGTGATAGTGATCTTTGTATACCGCGGTTACTACCTCTTTTGCTATTCTGGTGTATGAGGCAAAGCATTCAGTAAATCCGATTTTGCTTCTATTCCATCTCCACATAATATTGGAGTAATGTTTTATATGTAAACGGTAACTTATATAGGTTTATAAGCTCTTCATATATATTTCGTAACGTACTCGGTTACCTTGTAGTGTTTAATGGTCTTCGTTTAAATTGTATGTATTAGGGTGTGGTTTACATCGCCTTAATGTAGTAAAGGCCGATTGTATTTTACTATAACTAGTGTTGGCTGTGGTCTGTTCTTTACACTGTTCGTTATTTTTTGAAAATCCGTCTTTTGAGATTTAATATCTTTGTTCTCATCTCGCTTTAGAGTTTCGTCGAGAAATCTGCTTATATTTCTTGATGTATTCGTGTTCTATTATCCCGCTTGGGTTGCTGTTTAACAGTCTCTATCAAGATTGGTTCCTACCTCTTTCAATTTAGATTGGCTCTCTTATCTCGTTTATGTAATTAAAAGTTTAGGAAATTGCTTATAATATTAGGTTTCGCATTTATAGTCACTTTTCAGTGCAGAATGAAGTTGAATTGTTGATGATAAAGTTCTAATGTTAATTATAGAAAAGTTGTTTTCATAAATTGTATGGTTTTTAGTCTATATTACACTTTTGGTATCAGTATTTAGTATTAAAAAATAGTTTATGGTTAAATGAAGTGACTTGGATAAGACCCCTTCTTTAATCTCTCTGTATTCCTCTTTCCTTTTGATTTTATCATTTTTCGGTATGACATTACGCTTTAGCGGTTTGTATGAAATGACTTTAAATCTCGTTCAGTGTAGTTGATTGGGTGTGGTTTTTTTTAGACTTGGGTAAGTTGTAAGTCGTAAATACTAGGTCCCACATAGCTTCCTTCCAGTATAATAAGGGTAATGCTGACTATTTCTGTAAAAAGAGGGTCATGTTGTATATTGTTTGCATGTCCTCTAGTTAAATTCTTTTCTTCTTTTTTGTCTGTTCTTCTTCAATGACGGCATTAGTAGTATAACCGTTTATTTTTAAATTTTGAAAATATTATTAATTTTTTCCCCTGACGACTAATTTCTCTAATTTTTTATTCACTTTTATAATAAAAATTTAGTGAAATGTTCTCAAGTTGCATTTTTTCTACTGACAGTGACGCATTAATAAAACTTATGTGACCATATATCCCCTCCGATGATACCACACATAAAATAATTGCCCCGAATTAATGTTTCTGTCTTTAACGAGTTTGGGTTGTAATTTTTTAATTACAAATCACGCTATTTTCCTAATAAAGGGTTTTATTTAGTCGGAAAGTTTTTTAGGTTTTTTTGTAGCTTACGTATACGTGTCCATATATATAATAATGATAAGGTATGCTTTACTATGTTAGAATGTATCAAGCGCCTTGTAATAAACAAGTCTAATGTCAATAAAATATAAGCCATTTTTCTTTTTAGCTATCCAAATTATTCAATAACCCAGTATAATAGTGTTACCAGATGTACTAGCGTGAACTCGTATTAATCTAATTTGGCTACGGTGGTGTCTTTAAACAGTGACATATTTCACACGTCTTTAAAACTGTTGTGAACACTACATATACTGCCTTTTTTTGGGTTGTTTAACAGAAATTTATAGTTGTACCGTAATTGTAGATTCATTTGGGAGAGCAGAGTGTCATAGACCACGTCTTTTGAGTTTTTAATTTTTGTGTAAATGTCTGCTAAGTTCTTGCGAATGTGTTTTTCACAACATAACGATTTCTAAGTTTTGTTAGTTTCACATTATCACACATAGTAAAGTAGAGTTTTTGCTTATAACATATTAAAATTTATTTATTACAAAAGTTGCGAATGTTCACATAATTAACGTAAGGTAAAATATTAGAAGATACTAATTGCTTCACTGCAAATATTCTTAGTCATAAGTTATACCAGTTAATAAGCCATTTAATAATTGCATCTCCATAAAAATTTTTATATTATTGAAACCTTTTATGCGACATGGATTAGAAGAAGCGACCTCTACAAAATACTATGATTTAGAGGCAGGTATAACCGTCTTCTTTCAACTCTACAGTGGGACTTTTAATATATTACCCATTTTTTAGCAGAAACCATCTTTATTGCATCATAGTTCTTAGGCAGCCTACAGTAATTAAAACTGTAATCTTTATTATAGACCAACTGTGCTCACGGTTTAGGAGCTGCTTTTGTTAGAACTTAGTAACTTAATACTGTCTTGGTTGCCTCCAAAAAGCGTCCACTCATTCGCGTGGTGGGGAGTTAAAAAGAATTAAAGTTCAATAGTTTACCGACTGTTCTAGTTCTAACCGCCACTTCTCCCAGAAGAAGTATTTACTAAATTTGGATACATGTAAAATTTATGGATATATTACTATATATAGCCAATTGACATTAATATTATTATTTAATAAGGTATGGGTATGTGTTAGAATTTAATTTTTTAGTGTTCCGCCCCATAGAAGATCGTCTTCTCTTTGGCGTGGTGAAAAAATCTAACAATTTTAAGTGTACGGGCTCTTGCATCTCTAATATTTATAATAAAAAAATAAGCTAAGTCCTTCATCTAAGACAGCTTTAACTGCTTTTTTTCTTCTGTAATTACGTACGGTTAACAAGGTGGTGATTTATGAATGCAGTACATTTCGGTGCTTTTACAACAGATAGATTTAAATTTCCCTTACAGCCTAACCGGCAATAATAATAGCTAATACTAACAAAAGGTTATGTTTCTAAACTTAAAGACGAGATTTCGTAGTAAATGATAACTATAATCCTACTGCCCAAGTCTGACGTGCTTGTGGGTCTAGGGACAAGATTAGTTACGTTTTGAAGGGATTCATTGTTAAATTTAAAACATAGCGCAGAATTATTACAATATCGCTAATGATTTGTAAAGTATATAACTTGCCGATATTAAAAATAGACAATTTAGAACTAAAAATTTTAAGTTATTATATAGAAGCAACGAAAGTTCAGTGGAGAAAATTCACTTTTAAATCATTACTACAGCAAAATTTAAATCAAGAACTAAATTACGCAATAAAAAATTTAATATCAGATTCGCTAATAGATACCTGCACTATATAAGAAGTGTCACTTGTAAAAGTGTAAGCAGTTTGAATTGCTTAAATCTTGCAAAAATTGGCCTTGCTCTTATAAAGAGTTTGCAGGTTGCTCGCACAAAGTTAATAAGTCGCATCAATACTATAAGTAAGTGTTTAACTGTTTTATTGAGAATAAAGTTGACTGGATGTATGTTTACACGACTAGCCCATTATTGTTTCATACGAATTTAAAAGACCATAGAAATTTTAGCACTCGAATTATTATTTATTTTACGGTAATTGGTCCACCTGGCTCAAAATTAGGCATTAGCTGTTAGTTGGTCACTAAATGTTAAAAAATTTTTATTATAAACGTTCTTCTGTGCATAGCACTTACTAAATGCAGTCAATCTATTTAAAATATAACTGGTAACTAATTTTTTTTTACAGATCTTCTGCTTTATTCTATATCCTCAACTAAATATTAAAGAATATTAACATGAATAAGGTTCTTCTTCAGGCTTCTTGTGAGGATTGCAAACTATTTGTCCCCTCTTCTAAACCCTTAAAAAACCTTCAGGAGGTATTACTTCTCGCTGTTTACTTAATATATTTTATTAATTTTTTACTCGCAGGTTTCTTTGTGGAAACCAGAGGTGGTTAACGATAATAAGACTTCTCCAAGGTTAAATCCTAATGGTAAACACCACTCTTGAGTTATTTAAATAAGTTCTCAGTTCTTAACTAATCTTCAGGAAGAGTTAAGGATGGCGATAACAAAATTAAGTTAATAGTCTGCCATATGATGGGCGGGTAACTACTAGCAGGCTGTATAAGCATACTTATGTCAATATTTTTCAAATAGGTATCTTATGGAAGATAAGTACACCCAGATGGTTCCTTGTTCAGAAGTATATAATATAGTTTCTAGTTGGTCTTATATCGAGTATTTCATATACTTTAGGTATTTTTTTAAAACTCTTTTTATTGTTTCTTTTTAAATTTGTCCTTTTATTGCTTAAGCCACAACTTTGTTACTATACCTCCTACCTCGTGGATAGACATTGCACACCGAAATCATGTTCCCATTTTGGTAAAACTTACATATTTGTAGCAAACTTGAGGTTTCTATAAGATGAAGTCTTCAAGTCGGAAGAGGAGGGCTACTTCTAACACGAATCTTTGTTAAAAATAGGGGACCGTCATAACGGAATGGAAGGAGGGCTACTATATTTGCGAGGATCTTTTTAAGTTGGAAAAAACTGCCCTTTCTTTTGCCGACCAGTTGGTATGAATTCTATTTTCAAAACCTTTGCTTGTAAACTGGCTCCAGGTTTCCCATTGCTACGCACTACTGCTTTGACGGATGGCTGATTAACATTGAAAATCCCGTGGAAGAGGCTAACATACCCAATCTATTTATGTTTTTAGAATACCTCAAGCTCAAGTTAGAGGCTTCTCTTCCTGCTTCCAAGGTATTGCTACTCCTTTCTGAATTTATTTGAGGTTATCAACCAATTACCAAACGCCTTAGGTTATATGGTACGACAGCTTGACTCGTAACGGCCACTTGTGCTGGCAAAATGAATTGAACCTTTCCAACCTTGAGTTTGCCCAGCACTGTGATGGTCCTTTCATTCAAAGAAAGAAGTCTCTTTTTACTTATTTCTTCATAATAGCAATCTTCCTCAACTACTTTTGGGATACCTCTTGTCTTTTTAGGTGACCTTTTTATATTTGTCTTTTTCTTCAGATTTTTTAATCTTGGCATACTTTGCTCAGGACGCACTCTTTACTAAAAAGCCATCCGGTGGATGTATATGTCGGGATCGACGTCTTTGGTCGAGGGTCTCCCGGTGGTGGGGGCCTCAACACCCATAAGGTAAAAGGGGCGCTTGTGGTAACTAAAGCGAAGTGCTTAGTTGCTCTTGTAGGCGGTTGAACTGATCTCACAGTACGAAAATTTGCACATAGCTCTTTTTGCTCCTGGTTGGATTTATGAATCTAAAAACAACAAACTCGACTTACTCGGCAATCAGCTGTTTTGGGGTGCACTTTGTATCACTTTAATGTTATTAATGACTCTTATTATTTATTTACTAGACTCGTTTACCCCGTTCTGTCAAGCATTCGACAGCGTTCAACTACCTTTCGATTCTTTTTTCAACGTGGGATTTGGAAAGCGTTACTTCGTGAAGGGAAAAGTAGCCCTTTTTTTTTTTGATTCTTGAAACCTTTCCTCAACTTCTTTGCTATACAATGTTATTAGCTGGTTTCGGAAAAGGAATGGTCACATATAAGTTTAACGTCGCCTTTATTACCCTCTATATTGGCTAAATCTACTTCGTAGATTTTCTTAAGTTCAAATTATACTATTTTTAATTTAAGCTTTTCAATAGTAAAAACTTAAAATTTTCCTTTGATGAAGCCTATGAAGGAGGTTCCTCTCTTGAATTGGAGGCTTCTGGTACATTTCTTATTGTTTGCGGTGTAGTCGCTCCTCGACTGTCTATCATAAGCCGCAAGCAGTTATTTCACGTTGCTGGAGCACTGCCACTTCGCTACACAGGCAGGCCTTCTAATTAGACTGGTCTTCAAGCCGGCAAACTTGTCGCCTTCGCCCTTTTCTATTAGACTTTCCTTCTTAAATAGGTCTTATACACCCAAAAATGTGTGCTATCCTCTTAAACTTTTTCCCCTATAGACATCCAATAGAGTTCTCCTACAGGGACTGCCAAAGCAAAGACTTGACGATTCTAGCCGAAGAAGTACGTGGTTATATATTTCACTTCCAAACTTGCTTAAATTATAAGCTGTTTCTGTAGCGTAAGGACTCCGATGGCTGGAACCTGTTGACCCTCAACTTAAAACCTTTGCAGGAAGACTTTTTAAAAAAAATTGAGGTTAAGCTGGAGAAAGACAGTCGCGTCTTCTTCGGTCGACTCACTGTAAGGATCGAGTTCTTATATTGTCTGCGTAAATATGCATCTTCTCTCCTATGCGCACAGGTCATGGAAAATAAGCCTATAAAAGATGCCGTTTTCTTAAGCTCTTTGCAACTTAAAAATTTTTGTCACCACCAAGAGGATTCTAGGTACGCTTGAACTTAGCTAGAGAATGTCTTCTGCTGCCTTTTTAAAATTTTCGTCAAGTATCTGCGGATTGCTTCAGTGGGATGCCTCTAAGACTTGTTCCCAGTTCAACGTGTATGGAAAGATGACCGATATCGTATGCGTGTTCTTTCCTGCGAGACAGTTCCTTTCTTTTCTCTTAATGCATTTTTTTGTAGTATGGAAAGCAGACTGTTCTGTACATTACTACCACCCGTCAGCCCACGTACACGTTCTGTCGTCTGAAGGTGCCGCCGGGTATAGGCTCAGTCACTTTCGAGATACAAACGTTATTTCCTCTGGCAACCCAATGTCGTAGTGAAGTACCCGATGAACTTTCAGTTTTCTGCTCCCAAAAACTTTGCGTGGTGCCTTAATCTCCTTGTTTCAATCGTTAATAAACAAGTCAAAATACATCTCTCAATTTTTTATTTATAATGGTTGCTAAACGGTTTTTTCTTTTATGCTGCCCGCAGTTTAAAAATAAAGCTATAGAGTTCTACCTCTATTAGAAGGTACATTATAAAGTATTGGTGAAATAATCAATCTACTATGTTTCTCATAAATCTCCCTCTTTTAAGAGCAAAATATTTGAAAGCTTCACTGAAAGCAATAAAAATCTTGGCATAGTTTTCTTAACGATAAATACTTAACTGCTTGCCGTGACAAGATCTAATTAATTATTTTATAACCCGCTTCACTTATAGAAATCTCTAATTATATCTCTTTAAAATCCATAATTTTGTTATAAACTATCAACATAAGCAGCTCTTATGACAACTACGCTTCGTTTGAGTCATTGCTTCTGCGTTAAGCTGCTCAGTACTATATACTGTTCGAGGCAGAACCTATACCACTAACTTTTTGATCTCCATTTTTGACCCTGAGAACCCGGAGTGTACGCTTGTTAAAAACATGTCACTTTGGACTCGAATTAGGGAAGTTGGGCACTCAACTAGTTAGACCTCCCACTACGCCCGAAAGATCGTTAATTAAGATAATAGGTTCTAACAGTCTTTATAGTATATTATTTACATTTAATTTTTTATTAAGCTCTAGAAGCTTTATCTTGAAAAAAAAAAACACTTTGTAATAGCCAAAACGTTTCAAAGGCTTGCTATCAAGGTATCACAACTCGCAACATTTCTTGGCGTAATAAATAATAAGGTTAAAAACGGCTTTTACAAGCGGGCAATTACATAAGGTATGTGAACAGTTCACTTTTTTATAAGTTATATGGTAAGCTAGCGATGGCTGCTGCAAGAAAAGTAGTGGTTTTAAAAAAGTAATAATATAACTATATGAAGCGAGATTTTACAAAAGAAGATAGAGCGAATATCACGACTAGCAGTTCAAAACAGCGCAGCAGCTGTTGTACTATAATATACAAAAGTGACTTTCCCTAAAGCCATTAAAGCTTGATGTTTGTTTAAACGGATCTTAGTACAGTAATCTTGTTTTACGTGACATAACCTGCAGTTTAAGGTGTCTCTGTATTTAATGTTAAAAATTCGTATTAGGAAGGCATGAAGGAATATAATCAACTCATAAAGAATAAAACAATTGGTTTTATAAAATGAGAATTTAACAAAAGTGTCCTGTTTCATAATTATAATATTAAAGAAACCACCTGTCGAAAATATTCGTACATAACAACACCTAGATTAGATGTCAGGCAAATTAAACTGAACGCCACGTACAGTGTAAGGGAGGGGATCAGCTAGTAGCCTCTTACCGGACAAAGATTTTCCTAACAAAGCGGTGGTGGCCTATTTTTCTGTATTTATTCGATGCAACTTTAAAGAACGCTTAACTGTTGATAAACAAATTTTGTACAAATAACAATTAAGCTTCATTATCTCAGTAAGGTTATTCTGTAAACTGACACGTCCTAAACTAGTGACCGAAGTAAGTAATTTTTACAGTACACAAATATGTAGTTATACAATAATTTTAATTCTATTAGCCCAGGGACACTAACGAACGCATGAAGCTATCGTAGAAGAAAAGAAGTACTGGCGTACTATGGTCAGTACTAACTACGACTTCAAAGCGGTTATTTTGATTTTCCTCCCCCAAGAGGGGTTGGGGCGCATGAAATGCTCTGTAGTGCATTTTCCCGGTGTCAGGACTGTCTCGAAAGATTGGTGAAAAGTGAATATATAACCAGCCCGGGCCCTAGTCATGCGACTTAGAGTGGTGGAAAATCCGAGGCCACCTGGAGATCAGCCAGCGAAGCGACAACCATGCCTCCCTGGCTTAGAGCCCCCGCTGGAGGGCAAGTCCGGTAATATCTCGACCTTTTTAGTTTACAGGAGTTAAAATTGGCATCATTTACAGCTTAATCTACTTTTCTTTATTAAGTGAGGGCGCGCAAGCTTCGGCTTAACAAATCGTAGCTCCATACAACTAAAACGGATGCGCTTTATCATTGCAGCTAAATAGTATATATCAATAAAGACTTAATAGCAAAAAATTTTTCAAAATAATAAATTAAAAACAATGCCCCATGTGATAAAATAGTAAAGCTTTAGTACCTTTATAAGTTGTAAAAAAATATTATAAATAAGTTAATAAAATAAATCTTTAGTTATAGCTTTTTTTTTACCCCCTCCAATAGGTATAAAAATGTTTTGACAGAGCGTACTTATTGTAATAACGAGGGTCATTAGTACAAGCATGTCTAATTAGTATGCTATGGTGATTACTGGCTCTAACCCCGAAAAACTTTATAATATTCTTGGATGGACTCTATGTAGTTGGCTTTTGCGTACAACTACCACCATTCTTAGAATGTAAGTTGAAGGGATAAATATGTTTGCTTAGGAATAGGCCCAAAAAATAGAGACATAGGCCATAAGCGGGCGTATAACCGATTTGTATAACAGAAGCTGGTTTTTACGATGAAGTTTACTTTTTCAGAGTAGTAAGGGCTATAAGACGGTTATGGCTTTTCTAGCTTTAGAAACAACACCTCAAATATATGCCTAGATTAATCTTCTTACTTCGAGGAATGACAGTTCGATTTAGATGGAGAAGATTCAGGGGGTATCCCTCTTAATATAATTATAAAGCTATTTTTCGACGGTTAATTATTAACCTCCATGTTTAAAGCCATGCCTTAAGTAAAGTCAAATAAGACTACGTTTTTAAACCCTAGCCGAGCTGATTTTGACAGGTACGTAAATATTTTAGTATCCCCCGTAACATTTAAAACCTCTCAGCCCCTTTGACTGAACGAGGCTTGGTATTCTTTAGGCCAATAACAACTAAACCTATTTTGTCGGCTATTTCGGCAAAACTCTTTTCATTGGCGTCCTCCCGCCTGCTATTCCAATAAAGGGTTTTACAGTTTAAATCTCCAGCCATTAAGATGCTGGAGAAATTCGCAAAAATCTTAACATCAAAGTATTGCCTAACCTTGTTGGGTGATTTACAAGCAGCTACTATATCAAACTTTTCCATTGTGACAGAGCCCCATAGTTACGAAGATAACTTCTAAACTTACCAGTCAAAAAAGTAAGGTGCTTGGTGGTATGGTTTCAAATAATAAGACAGCTACGCCTCCTCCTCCAGAGTCTTCCCTGTCGCACCTTTAAACAGAATAGTTAGGTATTCTTAATCTATTACTTCCTTCAACTGTGTTTGAGAGATGAGAATTATGCCCAAGCCCATTCTGGCAATAAGTCCCTGTAACTTCAGCTTTTTTCAACGAACGTCGTCGACATTCTATTCCAAAATCTTCAAGGAACTAAGAGTCGACCTCGTTTTAATTAAAATTATATTTACATATTGAGATAGCCCCGTTATGGCCTTTGACGGATGAGAGCTGATAGCATTAGTAAGTATCGGACGCTGTACATAGCTCATTTTTTCATCAACAAAACTTTCAAAATTCTTGAAAGCTTTTGCTGATATATTATAAATTTTTCTCATAAATGCATTTTTCGGTGGAAACGCAGGATGCAACCATTGGCAATGATGCAGGTAGGCTAATCATGATCGCTTTTCCATTGGTGAGAACCATTGCATTTAATGCATTTATAGCTTGGCTTTCAGTATTTTTCTTTATGGCCAAGCCGGTTCTCTCGCCTTTTTAGAGATTTCAACCGACAAGGTGATATACTCTATACATTTTAATTATAAATCCTTGCTTCACATTCATGCAACTTGAAAAATAGAAGAGGCGGAGGTTGTCTTTCCTTTCTAAACGAACGCATTTTTATAACTTCAGGGGGGTTGAACCCTTGAGACATTAAGTCTGCCTTTACCGTTTTTCAAAATTACCACAAATAACCACACAAGCTCTTTTTCTCTGAAAAGCTTGTATTTGTAATGTTCACAAGAGTAACCTCAAGAACATCCACAGAGACTACATTCACACGAATTTCCCTGTTTTAAATCTTTGGCCCCTATTAATCTATACTTTATTGTCAATAATTTGGGTCTTTTACCGATTTCCCAAGCTAGTTTATGACGCATTATAATGGGAAGTGTTCTATTAGTTTAGTCTGGTTGCTCTTAAGAGAATTGTTATTACAAACTTTATTATTCTCATTACTGTTGCCTTAATCAGTTTTTTTTGTATAAATAAGACTAACTATTAGTAGTATTACTATTTTAATAAGTATTGTTACCACGACTAGCTAAGTAATTTCCACTACTTAATTTGTCCTTGCAAAATGTTTTAACGACTTAATTAAACTTGTTACAATTAGAAATAATGGTTTGTTTTTATAAAATTCTTTTCTATTACTAAGTTACTATCTCGGCACTACTTCTATTGCATCTTTTAAGCTCCTTTGTTTTTCTGTGGTTACTGCTATTCTTATTTATAATTAGTGTTGTTGTTACGGTTAATACTACTATCTATTAAATCTACAGTGCTCTCTACCATACGCTATCTTCAATAACCTCCTATTTATAAAATCAAGGTTCCTTCAGAAGTTGGAGGAGTGAGTAAAGATCGTTGTTGAATTCCTCTTTTAAAGTGTTCGATCCAAAAAAGATTTTACGTCTTTTAAAATTTACTTGACTGTACTAACTTTCCTCCAAATAAGCTAGTTTTGTCTTTAAGGCACCTAATTCTTTCTCTAAGTTCAGCATTCTCAATCAATAGGTAAGTGATATAATTGCGCTAGCAAAGCCTGCGGAGTGGCGCTCCGTTGTAGCAGAGCAAGAACAAAGTTTATGTCATCTGTAGTCAGTAATTGTCAATTTAAAAATTTTAAGTTTTGTTAGTTAAAACCCCCACTCGCATAGTTTTTCGAGTTGGCTGTGGCTATAGTGCTTATAACTAAAACTGAATAAAGAGGTAGCAAGTTCGTTAAATTGTCAGCAAGCGCACCCAAAAACAAAGATTAGAGAGACAGGGCACGAGGTTCATTAGTATAGTACATATATAACTAACTTAATTTAGTAATGGGTGTGTACTGGGCTCGTTACGTGCGCCATTGTTAGACAGTTTTCAAATATATTATAGATTATAATACATAAAGCGCTATATAAATAGGTAAAAAATTTAACGTAAACCTGAGGTAAAAGAAGCCTGATAATTCCTCGAGCTGCGTTATTGGCTAACTTTATTGTAACTAAGTTCTCAATATGTAATCTTTTACTTTTAAGATATAGGAATGTGTGCGTGTGAAGAGGAGGGCTGGCGAGCTTACGTGCCCTTGAAGTTTTTGTAGTAATTCTGGCTTACTTATCTTGGGAGTCCCAAATGTTATATTTTGTCCTTCAGGATGGAAACTTAGCAGCTTTCAGGTGCCCGAAAGTTAAGCTCGTAACAGGGTCGTTCTTATTAAGTAGAGAACTCGGTTTTGGCAGAAAAATGCGTTAACAACCTTAAGCTTAATTTAAAAGGATAATTTGTGTTTTACATTATTACTAAAGGTATATGGAAAGGATAACTAAAGCAACAAACTGGCCATTTTTTTTTTACCAATGAGTGCGAGTTCGAATTGCATGGCCACGCCACCTCGTGAAGGTCGTTGTTTGTAACTAATTGGTGGTTAAATATTACTGTTTGGATTTTTTCATTCGGGATGGTATTTCAGAAGTTTTAAAAAGCATTAGTGAGCCATGCCGCCTCTTCCTTCCAGAGAGTATTCTCTGTTTAAATCAGTTGTGGTACGTCTAGTTACTTTTTTACTATAAATTTATTTTTGTTTATAACTACCCTTTAGGCTTGCTATGAAAATAAGACATATAAAAGAGGACTTAAGTTAGCAGAGAGCATTTTGCACAAGTTTCCTAAACATGGAGGTACCATTATTTTAACTTTTTCTAAATATTTTTTTTGCATATCTTATATGCATGTGTTCTCTTAATCTAACTTAATATGGGGCTATATTTTTAATTTAAATTTTATGTATGCCCTAAGACACTTTGGCTATGAAAGGATTGATTTTAAATTGTATGGGAAAGAAAAAAGAAGCTTATGGACTTGTTAGGTGTTTTTTTTTTTTTCGTAAGTGCTATAAATTTTCTATAATAATTAAGTAGAGATGGCATTAAAAATGATATTCAATCTTATGTGTGCTGGCACGTCTATGGTTTACTTTATCGCAGTGATAGTAAGTACGCGGAAGCAATTAAGTGTTACCACAGGGCGCTTAAGATTTCTGAGGTTTTATTTTCCTTTTCTTTTGTGAGTTGGGTGTTTTTTAAATCATTATGTTTTGTAGGACAATACACAAATTTTGGCTGACTTGTCTTTTCTTCAGTTACAAGTGCGGGACTACGGGGGATTTCTTATTACTAGGTGAAAATACATTTATAGGCAAATAGAATAGTCATTTTTACCTTTTTTTCTATAGAGAAAAGATTTTCGCTTTGTTGCCTCGGCAGAGAGCGTCATGGATTGGTCTCGTCGTTGCTTATCACCTTTCAGCTAATTATCATCTAGCTCTTCAGATTTTTGAGTGCTTTTTAGAAACCTTTAAGGTAGCAGTATTACATTGTTTTATAACGCTTTGTATACTTATTTTAAGAAGAATTTGAAGCAGTCAAGCCCCTATGAATATAGCGAACTAGTTATGTATAAACTCTCCATCAAGTACGATTCCGGTGATTATTTGGGCACCTATGAAATGGTCTTTTATTTTCACCTTCCTTGTTTGCGGCTGCTTACGTCACGGCTGGTTTGCAGGCCAACTCCCACATTGCCGACGTTACAGATCGCGCGGCCTTGAGGCTTTTGGTGGTCACGTGCCTTATAGCCCTCAACAGAAAGGCCGAGGCGATCCCGATTGTAGAGGACTTGCTTTTCTCGAATCCTGACAACCAAGCCTACTGCCTCCTCTACGGGAATTGCTTCTCTGCCTCCGTTGATAAAGCTGGTAGCATTGCGAGCTACGTTGCGTGGTCTCTGATTGTGTCGCCCGTCCTTTAGAACTCTATGCATCCCTGGCGCAAGAATACCCTCGGTCCAGCCAGCCCCTGCTCTTCGCCCTCGGCCACGCTACCGGTAGTGAATAATTGCGTTGTTATGCTAGTAGTTAGTATTACGTCTAGAAGGAAAGAAGTTTGAGATGCTTGTGGGTGAATATTTAAAGAGCGGTTTTTCTAAGGGCACTCCAGGTTTGTTTTTTTCGCTCAAGAGCATGCTTGCTGACGAGCAGAAGGCTAGCACTATTCAGGTATCTTAGTTTTTATATACTTTCGATGTTGAATTTAACTCTTGACTGTTGAAAAGCGTTTAGCTCTTCTTCACTTGGACAACTGTTTGCTTTCTGAACTGGCCACTGGTATTATACAGTCTTCTTTAGGAAACTTCTTTTCTATGCAGTTGTTGTATAAGGACAGGTCAACAAGAGTCCTGACTTGCAGCTTTGGATTGAGTACTTCTTGTGTCAGCTATACGACTATAAAGGCAATTGTACATCCGCTCCCGTTTGGCTACCTTGCCTCTCAATGCTTTCTGCAGGGGATTTTGAGCAGGCCCTCCAATACGCTGACCGCATTCTGGCTCACACACCGACCTTCATAGACGCCTACGTTGTAAAAGCACGCATATATAAGGTCTTTCTCTAGATCGACTAATTTTCCTCGCAGAACTCCTTTCCTTTTTTATTAGCATGCAGGCAATTTCACTAAGGCTGCTAATTTTATAAATGAAGCTCGGGAGCTTGATCTCGCCGACCGCTTCCTTAACACCAAGTGCATCAAGTACATGCTCCTGGACGATCGGCTTTTGCAGGCAGAGAGCATAGTTGCTCTCTTTACTAAGGTTTTAGCTTTTTCGACTGCCGCTCCTCGCAATGTGGTGGTTACTTTATTTCAGGAAGAGGGCAACAGCCTTTCCAATTTAGTAGATATGCAGTGCATGTGGTTTGAGCAGTATTACGGCGACTCTGTCTTTCGCCTCGGCTCTTATAACCTCGCTTTAAACCGGTTTCGGATAATAGAAAAGGTGATCATTTTAAACTTTTCAGTGCTATACTTCGGTCTCACTCGCTACCCAGCACTTTTGCGATATTGAAGAGGACCAACTGGACTTTCACTCGTATTGTTTACGTAAGCTGACCTTGCGGGCTTATGTCAGGTCCTCTTCTAGTTCTTCTCTCACTGTGCGGCATAGATACTTCGCTCCTTTAGCATGCTTAAGATGGAAGATGATATCCGAAGTCACGTCTTTTTTCGTCGAGCTGCCAAGAGCGCAATTGAGGTGTTCTACTTTTTACCTTTTTTACTTGAGAGTATTAAACTTCTGCTTGTCCAGGCGTGTTTGCGTTTAGACGAGAACAAGACTACCAATGGAGAGGCTTATGAAGAGGCCGAGCCCCGACAGCGTTTAGTTCTTTTGACTCCTATCATCTTCCTGGCGGTGAATGTCTGTGTATCTTTAGAAATAAATAGGGTAGAACCCGATAAGTTGCTGAGAAAAACCCTTTTGAAAGAAGTTAAACAGAAAGGTGGCTATTATTAATCACATCCTTTGCAGAAAGTTCGTATATTTGTATAGCAGCCGCCGACAAGAAAAAGCAAAATGGCAGTCTCTCATATGCACGTCCTGAGCAGGTTTTTATACAACTCTGCACCTTTTTTACCATTTGCCCACCTTTATATAGCACGTGGAGCCCCTCGAAGAAGCCACGAGGTTTTTGAACCATTTGCAACGAACTTCTCGTCGAGATATCGAAACTCATTTGTTAGCAACTCGTGTGTACATGAGGAAGGGTGATTCTCTTGTCTTACGGAGTGTATTATCGGATTATTACATTTCCAGGTCGGCACCTTCTTTCCTTGAGATCGCTCAAACGAGCTAAAGCCATCGACAAGAACGATTCTCGCTATTTATTATTATTGGTCGAATACGCGCTTAAACGTATCTGTCACTTAATAATTAATATAGAGCGCTTCCTTGTTGAATATTATCAGTTAACAAAAGCGACGTGTTAGATGATGCTGTTTTTGTGGTCGCCAGTCAGGAGCTCACCAACTTAATGGACGGCCAGACAGTCTTCCAGTTTGTCGATGCTGTCTGCAGAGCTGCCGCTGGTGATGCCCCTCTCAGCGCTCAGCAACTTTGGCTTGCGGCCGAGTTGAAGTTCCTTGTGGAGCCTACAGACAGGGATCAGTACCGGAGGGCCTTAACGTCCATCTGCCCGCCTCTATCGGGCTCTTGGAAAGACTATAACGTCATCGTGCAAAGGCTTAAGAAGGTTTTTGTATGACTTTCTTTTGCCCTATGTTTGCGACAATTCGTTTTTTCATAGAATTTAGGTCAGAGCAACGATGTGCTTGCTTATATTCAACTTTTAAAAGAAGCCTTTCCCTTGTGTGGCGTCTTTAATTGTTGAAAGCCTTTATTAAAGCCAATAAAGCGCCTTCTTGCTCTTCTTGTTGAAGCTTAATAACTTGCGCAAGAGGAAGCTTAAAACGGTTTTCATTCCGCATAATCTTTTGCAGCTTAGCAAATATATTGTATTCAGGACTTGTTGGGTGCAACAAATGTTACAGTATGACAGTTTCTTTTATATATATTTTAGATTGTGTTGGATGACTTTGAGTAAATGCACTAGTATAGCTCTGGTTAGAAGGAACATGACACCACTCGAGCTCTAGCTCGTTGTGTTAGTTTTAATTTTACTAACCTGTCTGCGTCCTGGCTTTTGGAATTCTACAACTTTATTAGTATTGCAGTAACTGCTGGATATAAAAAATATAATTTTGACAGGTTATTAATTGGTCTTGTTTAGAGTAACGATGTACTTTTGGCAGTTGTTTCCTTTAATATTTTGTGCGGTGAAGGTGTCAGTTATCTTTAACTTGGGGAAATTGGGACTATCGTTAATTGGGAAGATTACTAAGCTTTTTCTAAAAAAAACGCGCAAAATTTATAGTTCTTTCTACCTCCCTTTCCTTCTTTAGCAGAAGACTTATTTAAAATATTTGTTTGAACTGTTTAAATTAACTCTATCTAGAAGATAAATACAAGACATTATTATAGGATATAATGCCCTAAAAAAACTTGAGTTCTTGTAAAATATAAGTAATTTTAAAAATCAAAATCACTAAATACAGGTTCGCAGATATTCAGGAAAACTTATTCATTTTTGTTTAACAATTACTTTTACTGAAATTAACAAATTTCTAAATGTAAAGTTACTTTTTACTAAAACCAATATAAAACCTAATTACATTTTATGACTTTTGGTAGTTTTTTATTATATATAGAAGTTCACTGCGTATTAAATTATTTTACTTTCTTGTATCTAATACTTACTAAATATTTATTATTTTCTAAATTTATTTCCTTTGACAAGTGTACAGTCTTACAATGTGCAAAACCGAACTTATACGCTAACTTTTGGTGGTTGGGCTTTGCATATTAAGCTAAACTATGCGCGACGACACAAACTTAGCTTGCTTTAAAGGAAACAACCGTTTTTTTAGTGTTCGTTATTTTATTTACATTACATAGAAATTGCCACACTTTAAGTAAAACATTTAAATAAATACACATTAAAAGTATTCTTTTTAAAGGTCTAATGAGAGCAGGAACTCTCTTACACGTGGATTTTTTTAATAGTTATGAAAGATCTGGTTTTAGTCGCCAAATTTAAAGTTTTTATTAAAAAATAAGAGATATTACAATGGTAATTAATAGAAATCTATTTAGATAATATTTTTTTTTACTAAAATACCACGTTTCGTTCTTTGAAGATTGTAGCGTTCGCTCTGTAAACACCTCCTGCGCTCTTGAAAAAGTATATTGGTCCTGAAAGACTAAGTGACCTGCAAGTCTCACATAAAAGTTGTTTGTAAAAAACATGTTGAAATTTCTCAATAAGCAATCTACTATCTCAACTGGAGTAGTCTGTTATAAATATGCATATGGCGTTTAGTTTTTTTTAAAGTCAAGAAGTAGAACCGACATTTTTATAATTGTCAGTTTAGGGTGACGGATTAGCATAAAATTACTACCTGCGGTCAAATTAAGCGTAATCGAATTTTTATTATATTGTATACTTTTATAAAAGTAGTAGTACTAGTAAAGTAAGCTTCTAACTTTTTTCTTTAGCACTGGCATACTACCGCCAGTCTTCTTCAGACCTTAAGCTGCTTACTCTGAATTCCCCTCTTATGCAGGGGTTGGAGCACGAGCGCCCACTAATGTACTCTCTTTAGAGAGCTAGAATGACTTTATCCTAGGATTGAAAAAGCGGAGAATACCGAGCCGACGCCCTGCCATTTGACCTAGTGTGGTGGAAACCGCAAAAAACCACCACTCGGAGAGGCGGCTTTGGACATAAGACTCGGGACTACCTGGAGACACCGACCAGCACCACTTCAAGCTAGGCCTCCCGACTCTCTTCTCTATTAATATTTGATTTCAGATACTTATTTTTCTAGAAAAACGATAGCAGTTTTCTAGGTCGCTGAAATTTTGCTTTTTAAAGCAGATGAAGCGCGTGTGCATTTTTGCAATCTAAAAGAAACGTTTTTAGCCTTTGTCTATGGTAATTGTTAAATTCCCTTCCCTCACCATCTGCAAGCTTGGGAATTACGTCCCTTAATTTTAAATTTTTGACTAACTATTTAAAGATAATCCTTTTATAATACATAGACTCTGTTTTTGGTGTTAGCGCTTTTTGGGAAGTACGGGTCCCTGGTTTATATAGTTATAATATTGTAATAAATTTATTGTGTCGACATGGAAATTTTATTAGACTAATAAATAAGTAATCTTGTATCATGGGTCGGGAGCTATTAGGGGTTACTTGAATTAATTAGCAGTGTAAGGGCACATGGATTCCGAGGCAAACTAAATTTTCTTGCTCCTCTGCACGTCAATTCGTTCATTTGTAAACCACCGGTTGGTCCTGTCGAGTTAGTGGTAAATCCTCGTCAGTGTGACTGACCAATTTTTTATTATACTTTATCTATCACTATCTACTACTGCAAACTTTTGAACGAAAACAACCCATCATTAATAGATGGTGGGTATTGATGTTGATATTTCGCGCCCACATTATGGATATTGAGCCTTTACGAACACGTTTCCGCGGTAGTTGCACTTTGCATCACTGCTTTTTATTAATTTTTTTTTAGAAACCGTGGACGCCTAGATTTTTAAAGGCTGGTTAATCTGAGCTTTTGGAAGACATTTATTTTATGGCTCTAAAATTTAATTTAAAAGTAGAGGTGTACGGCGTAGTACTAAACAGAGTGTTAATAACGAAAAAGCCCTGAGATGCGTTAGATTCCCAATAAAACATAAGATTGTAAGCCATATTATATTGATAACTTGTCCTCAATGGACGACTCTTTAACAAACTTAAGGACGTGTCGACTACCTAGTATTAACACACATCATCTTTTATAGCTCAAGAAATAATAAATTTATATTATAAAACGTACATACACTCCTTACTGAAATAATTTTTTGAAATATTTCTATAGTGTAATTTTAGCAAGGTATGAGACATTCTTTTAAGTAATACCTTCTTTGTTTACATGGAATAACTCCAAGTAAAATGCGAAAAACTATGTAAACGCTTACAATAATTATTTTACACTTTCTTGGACCGGCGGAGAGCTGAGAAAAAGCAGTCTGGTATTTTGTTTTAGTTCTTAAAAATTTTTATTTGACGTAGTATATTTTAAGTCAACCCATCGCTTATAGTGGTTTATTATAACGATTATTGCACACTCCCGATCTAGACTACAATAAAATATTATAAAAAGGGATATGTTTTTCTAAGGCACTTAACTGCTATAATTGACATAACGGTTAAAAAAGACAAGTTAAATAATTTATTTTGTACAACTAATAATTTTGAAAAGAAACAAACTTACATTTATTACGCCGAAAGAAATCGGCAATTTATCGTCAATTTTACTTCTAAAACTGTGTCAACTATTTATGTTCATTAGCTTCCACGCTAGTAGCCTATCAAATATATGAGATTTATAAATTTTATATATAAGGCGAGAATAATAGAACCTCTTTATTAGCTTTTAAAGTTCTCGTGTGTTGGCGGAGCATAACAAAGTTATAACCAGCAGTAAACAAAAGATAGATACTTGATAACGCAATAGCAGAAACGCAAACTTTAATTGTTGACTATTAATAAAAAAAATTTTAAAGATAATAAATGAAACCTCTATGAGCTATATCATAGATAAAATATTTGTATTTTCCAAAAAACATCGAAACAAGACAGAGCGCCTACTATAATAACCGAAAAGACAAACTTTATTACCTCGTTGGCACGCCACGGCGCATAGACAGGAGTTGGTTTTAAGGGGTAAATATTTGCGAGGAGTAATTTTACAGTTCGTTAATACACAACAATATTAGGCATAAAAAAAGCATTTTTAAATAATAATTGTTATTATACGATATTTATAGATAATGCAAATAACTGTCAAAATGCAAACTGCGTTGTATTAGAAGAATATAAAAAAGCTTATCTAACGTCGCTGTTCTACTAACATAGACATAACAGTCTAAGATTTGAACTATAGAAATTGTACACTATATAGTCCCTTATAAAGCTTATACGTAGTATGTAATACTATTCTTTCATCATCACTTAATAGAGATAAACCGTATAGTTAATTTTTAGTCATGCTTTTTACGCGTAAGTATATTCGATTAATAGCCTGTTGTAATCATTTTGATAAATACATCAGATTTTACTAAAAGCAAGAACTAGATCGGTGATATGTAACTAATAATGTATTAATACATGGAGGCAAAGTTAAATACGCAGTCATCAAAAACGAGAAAAGGGCCCCGCCGGTAAATACGAACCCACAAAATTGGTTTTTTTTGTTATGCCCCCAATCGCTAATTACGCCAACAACTCTCAATACCTGGATGACGGATTTACGTGTATGTATCCCATGAAATATACGACCCTAACGTTGGGAAATTTCTCCTTTGCAGTAATAAGAAAGCATAAGGGGGGTTTCAAAAACATTACAAGTCCTGTGCTACACTAGAACTTTAGTTTTAAAACTAAAAAATCTTATAAATTAAAATGTTATTGCGATGCCTTGTGGGCCAACAGTTATGGCTTCAAACCACTTTGAACTATGTGTTAAATTCAACCCTTTAGTTATAACATCAATTCGTAGGGGATGACCAGGTAACCCAGGACTCTTACCTTAAGTGCAAATAAAAGTAGTTTAAAATCTTTAGTTGTGTTTTACTCTTAATATAAACTTAGAATTTCCTCTAAAAACAAGAATTATATAGTTTTTTATGATAACAGAAAACTAAAAATACTGTGGCCTCACATTCTTGGCAACATAAAGAACTGTGGCTAGTTCTGGCTAGTCCGGACATATGTATTAATGATGCACCCAAAGTTTTTGGGCCTTAAAAACATCACATTTATATGAAAATCTGCAGCCTAATGTGAACACAACCTTTGTGGGCACGATCTTTGCATATAAACATTGAATCCAGTCTTTTGAAAATTTTCTCCAAATATGACCTACTTAGTCTTTCAATTTAGATCGTCTTAAAAAAGACTTATAATAATCTCTTTGCTCGTAAATGCGCTTAGGACCCTTTACCTTTCCGCTTTTTTTCTTGATTCCCCTGTTATGGCCTAAACTTTTCAGTTATCCTCTGAATTTTTATATAATAAAATTTCGCTCTTTTGGATCTTTCGGGTCGGCGCACTAAGTGTTTCTTAAATGCGTCAGTAAAAGGTGGTAACTTCTCTAACAAAACAGTTACGATGGTGGTAACATCGGTTCAGTGACATCCTCAAATGCACGACTAGTAGAAGGAAGGTACAGATGATGGAAATTGGCAGAAGAAGGTTGCTAGAGATATTTATCGTAGGAGCAGCTTCTTGCGCCACATCATTCATCATAGACGGGAAAAAATCGATGTCTCCCAAGAGTTCACCGTGGGAAGGCAAATATTTCTGTGCACTTGAACCCATTTTGGACTATAGGCAGTTTAGCTGCTTTCTTAAAGGACTGGTGTAAAAGTGCAGCGACACAGTCTGTGGTTCTAACCCCAGTGTTTCGTCTCATCCACATGGCACTTGCAAATGCAAATGCAGCCTTAACCCTTCGTTAATGTTCTGGGGTATGAGATACCCTTACTCCAGTCTTAATTTCATTATTCACTGCTATATGATACCGTCTTTGGTTAACCGCACATGCACAGCACCGCATAAAATCCGGTCAGTTCTATCCGATGCCTCTTTTCTGTAAAGTGTCTTACATGTGGATAAAGATGGTTGGGGTATATGATTCCCGGTACACTAAATTCGATAGGAATTTGTAAAATTGATTTTGAAGGTAATGTTTGACTGTTATTACTTTTCACAATTGCTATTACTAAAATAGCTATAAACCTTTCGTAGGATGTCTTACGAACAGGGCCAACAACGGGTACAAGCTTTATGGGACGGGTTTGGCTCGTTTTCTGATGATGAGTCGGAGGCGATGCTGATTCCATTGGCGAAGGGGAGACCCCGTTGTTCTATTTAAAATATGAAACTCAGGTATGGGAAGCATAAGGAGATGCAAATTTAAAACTACAGATATCGAAGATTTTTTTGTTGACTCAAATAATGCCAATTGATCTAAAAAAACCAAAAAATTGAGAAAAACGCTCAGAGACTATAATTACCCAACTTCCGGGAGTGAATGTAATTGCAAAGTTAATACGCGCTTTTCTGGTCTTTTTTTTTACAGACGAGGGCCTAAATCTTATTACACGTAATACAAATGTGAAACTGCCGATAGTTCGCAGTAATACGATGCTGCACACCATTATTTCGTGAAATCAACGGGTATAATAGTTAAAGGCAGTACTAAGCTAACTTTATATAGATGGATTTTTAAAGATAACAGAGAGAATATGGTTATTTTTGGTATACGGATGGCAGTAGAAGTAGTTAATAAAAAATCGCCCTGTTAAACAAAGGTTTTATATATTATAACCAATCCATGCGTTTTGATAAGATTCATAAAAGAGTTCAACGACTTAAAATTGCAATAGAGAAAAATCCGAGTCATTTAGGACCAAAGTATTGAAAATGTCAGAACTGTTATACTACTCTTGGGTTTCTCATAGATGAAAAATTGGAAGTCATTTTAAAATCGAGTTTCTTTTTCGTCAGTGTATTTCCAACAAACCGTTGTATACTAAAAAGAGGTAGCTATAGAAGAAAGATGAATGAACCTTTGCTTATAATCCGAAATATGGGATAATAAACAAAAGATTGTTTAAATACAACTGAAAGTAGATTTCGTTGTTAATAATACCAGCTCTTAGTTGATAAACCTCTTGCTCTCAAACTTCTATCTTATTGGTTGTTACTTTTCTTTTTATGAAGAATCCGAAGGGGCCTGTAATAGAAGTTTTAATTCGTTAGACTCTGGTAATGAGGTAAGTTTATTAATGAATGCATGTTTGTATTGTGGTTTTTCTTATAAATTTTAGTTTCATTAAAGTCAACAGGTTATTGTTAATTGATAGTCATTCTCTTTAGTTTTTTTTATATTATCTATACTATTATTAGAGAACTTAAAATAGCTTTTATATTTATTATCAGATAAGCTTATTGTTACTATCTGCTCAAGGGCCAACTTTTGCAATTCTCTAGAATTATATAAATTTTAGTGAAAAAATATGAAGCTTAATTAAACTGTCTAGATGGTTTAAGTCGATTACAGTGTCAAAGTTTGGTTTTCTTCCAGATCATCTTTACTAAACTTGGATATGAAGTTTTTTGATTAAATCTGCTAATGGAAGTAGAAGAGGCCTTCATTTTAACTGGTGGTTGAATGATTTGTGAAGAGAAAAAAAGATGGACCTAAGATTGCCTATTTCTTTGTAAGATATGTGGTCCGCTTTTAAGGTTGAAATAGCGGAAAGACTTTGTGTTATAGGTTTTATAGTTTGCGGCGCCGCGTGTTTGTTTTCATTATTAGTTTGACTTTTTTTAATTTTTTTTTTTTAATGTCCATCAATATTGTAGTACTCTCTTTTAAGATTTTGTTTTAGTCTTTATATCAGTTGCCAGTAATAGTTGTTAATATTAGGGAAGAGTTTGATGTCGAGCGTCCATTCCGTCTCTTGATTATAATAATAATAATAATAAATAACCAGGAGTTTTGCTTATGATCGCTGGTACACCACTATAGGTATCTTCAATTCTGGAGGGTTTTTTTTCCGAGCTTCCTAAAAGTAATGATAATTAATTATTAAATGATATGATAAAGGATATCAATAAAAATACCATATTCCAAACGGAAGTAAGCGCTTCATACCCCCCGATGATCAGCAAAGACAATTTTACTATTATTGATAACTTCGCTTTTTTCCTGAAAGTATTCTGACCTTGTCCAGATTTAAATTTCGTCTTTTTATTAAAACCGCAAAAGCCTTAAGAAGAATAAAGTATAGTTTAAGTATATTGTTAACTTCAACTTATACAACTTTTAATAGTTTCTTTTTATCTGTTATTGTTTTTAATAGCTATTTCCTTGAAAACCGTATTACTATTATTATTCGCTTTTCTATTGTTTTTATTTATATTAACCTCTTTAATAGCTATTTCCTTGAAAACTGTATTACTATTATTATTCGCTTTTCTATTGTTTTTATTTATATTAACCTCTTACAGTTCAATTTATCATTATTGTATCACTAATTTTTTTTCATTATAAAATAACGGAAATACATGTTAATTTACTATAATACTATTTTTATTATGAAAGATATAATAATTTCGTATAACAACAAGTCATATATATATATATTATATTATTCACTTTTTATACAGTTTTTTTCGTCGTTTTATATTTTTTAAAAATAATCGACTGCATAGGACCATTATAATTTATACTTTTATTATCCTTATTCCTATATAGTATCATCTTATTTTTTGTTATATATTTACTTGTTAGTATAATTTCTATTAGTTTATTTTAGCTTGCGCGTATTACTAAAATAATTAATCTTTATTTTTAGTATTATTTTTTTATTTATTATTGTTATTATTATTACACCTTTTTTTCTTGCAAGTTGCATTTTTTATTCGTCCTGTTATGACGTTGAAGTATTAATAATTCTGCTATTATTTTTTTATTTTTTGTAATATTATATCATTAATAATTTTATTTTCTTGGCATCCATTATTCTTCATTATTTTATATTATAAAGTAAGTTATTACTTTTTACTTATAATTTTCAATATTTTTTATTATTTTCATTGTTCTTTTATTTGTTTTTAATTTTGAAAATCTTAAACCATATTAATTATAAATATTTTTTTTAATAACCACCTTAATAAGTTATTAATATGTTTACATATACTTAATAGTTTTTTTCAAATCTTTCCTTTGTAATATTTCCTTTTCTCTGTTATTATTAAACCATGTTAATTATTAAATAAATTTTTTTATATCGTAGTTATTCTTTAGGTTAATATTATTATTTAGTTTAGTAATCTATATTATATAACCTCTGTTGATATTAAACGTACGTAGCATAGCCAAGATTCCATGCTAAGCGAACTGCTGCTCTTAAAGTGCTGATGTTAGAAAATATTGATAATTACATATATTATATAAATGACTAATAAAATAGTTACCTAATATATGTATCTCTTACTTTTTTATAATAATAATCCTATAAATAAAATTAATACTAGGAGATATATTATGAAAATTTTATAGAGCTTAATAATTAAGATAATAATGATAGTAATGACATAAAAAATAAAAATAAGTGCCAGCAGCGAAGGCACCAACGCAGGTAATAGCAATACATGCTTCCTCTTATATTTAGTATTACTTTCTAAAAGTATAAATATTTTTATTTTTATTTTTTTTACAAATTAATAAGAAAATTACCGTATATTACAGGTATAACTTATGCAATGCATTTACCTTTTTATATCTTAAAAAAAAACAAAAGCTTTTATATTATGATAAAAATACATGTATTTTTTATTAACACCAGTTTACTTTACGGATTCCTTTAAAATAAAAGTTTCTAATTTCAATGCCTGTTCTAATTTTTCTGTTTATTTAAAACATAATAGATAATGCTATTTCTTTACTTTATGCTTATTATTGCTTTTTTTTAAATAATTTATTTTTTTCTTATATTATATTACTTTATGTTGGTTACTTCTTCAAAGTGTAGAGACCTTTCTTTAGAAGCGGAGCGGTTGACTGCTATGCAATATTCATAATATCTTTTAAAGTTTCCTCTCGCTGCCTAATAAATAATAATATATTGAATTATTATAAAAAAATTATAAAAAATAAAATAAATTTTTAAACTAATTAAAAATTTTAATTGTATAGTCCAAATAAAAAGCAACATAAACAACAGTAATAGAAATTATGAAAAAAGCAAGAAAATTAATAATTAAATAAAATAACAATGACTCATTCTTCTTTATATATTTACCCACAAACAACGAAATCGAGTTACAGGATAATTCACCACTTGGGTTAAAATAACATCCCACTGTCTTCTTACTTTAGGTCATTTTATTAGAAAGTGGTAACGATAGCATAATCTAGCAATAATTGCCAAGCAATCCCTAAAAAAGAAATAAACAATTTTAGGCGCCGTACTTTATCATAACTGAAATTGCTAAAGCCATTATCTATCAGAAGAGCATTAATAGTTAAAAAAGTTATCTTGTAAACAGTTCGCGGGTTTGGAATAGTTGCTATCCGACATATTTATAAGGGTGTAGTTGAAGATTTTCAAGTTGTAGTAATTTTACTATAATTAATATGCGTAGCACTTACTTATAAGCGTGCACAGCGACAAGGAGCATACTGGAACACACTCCTCATCCCGTAATAAGTGGTAAATATTTTAAAAACATGAATTTTTTGCTAATGTATATGCGCCTCTATAATTTTTGCTCCTTTTTTTGGATTGCTGTTACTTTGGTTTCTATTAATAACTAGTTTCCGCCCTCGTAGTGTCAATAGTACTTTTTCAATTATAGTTTTATCATCAAACTTTGTTAAAACTGCGTTTTCACTGAACCTTACTTTAGACGCGGTCTTAATAAAGATGGAAAGTCGTCAAATAACACCGGGACCCTTCACAGATGAATCGGCAAGAGGTTTTTTAGCTTTAACTCTTATTATACTGAAACTTCCATCTTTTAAAGTGTACATAAGACTTTAATAAAAAAGCCTAACGACTTTAAAGATATTTTTCAATTTTTTTCACATTTTTATAAAAACTTTGTTTAATTGCTAGTTTACATAGTTAAGCATAGACGACAAAAAGAGAAAAAGCGATTTATTTACTCAACGCTTGACTAACTTTCCCACAACCGTTATGCGTCTATTTCAGGCTCTGGTTTTACAAAGAGTTGTACATATAAAACTTATATGCGTATAATTACAAACCTCGCAATGTACCAAACCCTTAGGTTCTCAAAAAGCACCAGAAGGTTTAAATCTTTCTGCGCCCTTTTTAATTTAGATGATTGAAACATGCTTAAGGGTTTGCCGTAGGTTACGACTGATACATTTGCCTTTTTACTAAAACATTGAAGAAACGAGAATTACCAAGTCTTGTACCGGTTTTAGCTTCTTCTCTTACATTTTTTTAAATAGTTTTAGCCCAGGTTTGGTAATAAATCTAATACAATTTTAGCAATAGCTCCCTCATTCTTTAGACTTGGTTTTTACAGCTTATAAATTTGAATAGTCGTTCTTTTTCTTCGAAAGTTTGTTGGGAAACCGTTTTACGCTCCTTACCACCAAAGCTACTCTTTGTGACAAAATTTTATGTACTCTTTCATAAGAACCCAACAAGTGCTACGAAGACGAACTTTTTTTCTTTATCATACATTTCTTGACAAACGTTCATAATTTAGAACCTTACCACCATATAAAAACTTTGCAAAATTTACAAAAAGTGACACTAACTTCTTTTGGCTGAAGCTTTACCTCTCACTGCTTATACATGCCTCCACTTTTAATAGAAAATGATTTAAAAAGTTCGAAAAATCCTTCCTAGCTTTATGTATTTCTTTTTATTAATTATGCAGACAAAAACCTTTTACTTTCGACATCCCGACTAAATGTACTTCACTTCCTTCCCTTATAACTTTTATTTTTGGCTATCCCCTCATAGTGCAAATTTCTATTCTTCTTCTTCTATACAATACTTTTTCACTACTTTGTATTATCTATTCTGTGTTTACGTTTCCAGTGCACACTAACTCTTAAAGTGATTATTAACCGTGCTCCCTCCGTCGCCTTAAGATAAGTTTATTGTTTCAACTCCTCAAGACTGTATTCTAATAATTGATTATAAGTAAAACAGTAGGAAGTTTTATATAAAGTACATATATAAAGCACCTGAACCCGGAGCAGGTGTATTTTTTAACATTAATATCCTAATAACCTAAGTTTCAAGATTAGTACTAGACCCTCATGTAGTAGTTTATATCTATATGATACATTTCAACTTAAAATTTTAAAAAAATGTTTTCCGATCAAATTTAAATTGAAGCTTTCGCGTTGTAAAACTCCTTTTTTTTAACACCTACTGCAAATAAAAGTAAACATACACAAATTTTAGGTTTAAGTTATGCCTAACCTATCCTTGCATATCTTTTTACTTATATCTTCTACTAATAATTGAATGTACTCTGTCTTTCTTATTGCAAGCACAGTAAATTTTTTTACTTTTAGTTTTCGGTGGCAAAAAGAGTTTAACTATAAAACTTTATATCCCCCTTTATATATTTAATTATATATATTTTAGCATTATACAATAATTAACCTTATAAAGAAGAGTAGAAACAAAATAGCGTGCTAACATCTATTTTTTTTAAAGAAACTAATACAATTTTTCTTTTATTTGAAGGGTATTTAACTAATGTACGCAAATAACTAGAGATAGAATATTTTAAAAAAAACTACTGCTTCTGTTAGTTAAGACCCTACTCGCCTAGCCTCTCGAGCCGGCTGTAACGCTTACAACAGTTAAAACGGAATAAAAAGAGATAGGAAGTTTATCAAATACTCTTCCACTGCATCCAAAGGACAAAGGAAAAAAAGACTGGGCGTGCAATTGGTTCGTCAGTCGGAGTTAAACCGAGCGCCTAACTAATGAAATATTAGTATCCCTTATTTTTGTCGCTTAACAATGTACACTGAAAATAAAACAACTTTTGCCACGAGATGTCAAATGAGGTTCAAATATTAATAAAAATCTTTAAAGTTATGGATTTGTATTTTTTATAACCTGCCTATAAGCTGATTGCGCATGGTAAGTGTCAAGCTTATATATAAATTATATAAGGTTATACACGGCA